TCTCTCTCTCTCTCCCTCTCTCCCTCTCTCCCGCGCGCGCCCCTCCTCCACGCTTCCCTCCTACACTGTTCCGGCGCCCTACAGAGACGCAAGACGGGGTCAGTGCCGTCGCCACAACAGGAACAGCAATCAACGCTCCAAAGCCTGTCTTGCGGCGACTGCTCAGACGCGCACTTCCGACCGAACCCTGGCCGCCAAGCCATATCCACCTTGGATCCTCCCCACCTGACCAACGCTCCCACCATCCTCCTTCCTTTCCTCACCCTCCTTCCGGGCCAACCGCCACACACCACCATCCTCCCATCATCCCAAGGCGACGTCGCTTCGCTCACACTTCCACCGTCGTCACCCTTGGCTACGACAGCATTCTTCTTCGCGCCCCCGCCTTCGCTCGCTGCCAACAGCGTGCTTCCGTGTCGCCAGATCGACCTGCCTGCGACGATCCCGAAGCATCGCACGCCTGCTCTCGCCTCAGCTCAAACAGCCTCGCCGCAGTCGTACCTGATCCTTCCCTCGTCAAGGTCTCGTCCCACGAGATTCCGCTCACCGACTCCATCACGGCACCGTCGTCTCGAATCCGCAACTAGGCTCCATTCAGCCGCCCTGTTCTCGACCTAGCTGCCTTCCAGCTCCTCTGACGTTCTCGCTCCACCGCCGTCGTCTTGACCTTGCGTCCCTGGATCCAGCTCGACTCGATCGTCTGCGCCGCCTCTGCCCACTATGCCGAACAACTACCCCAACGCGCCGCATCCACACGACCGCTACGCCTATCAATTCGAAGGCAACAGCGTGCATTCGTACTCGCACCGCCATGTACCCATGAGGCCCGACTTTGCGCGCTCGCAAACCGTGCCGAGAGCACCCATGCCCGGCCCTCCCCATGGCCCCATGTTTCCCGACCATGAGCCGGCCGAGCGCAGCTATCCGTCGCACCATGCGCCTCATCCCACCTACACACGACACCACCACTCGTACTACGACGAGCGCGGCCCTCTGCCTCCGCCGCCGCTTCATCACCGTCACGCTCCCACCGACGATCACTACTACGCATACGAGCGTCGATCGCCCACCTTGTCGAGNCCGTCACGCTCCCACCGACGATCACTACTACGCATACGAGCGTCGATCGCCCACCTTGTCGAGTGCACCCCACCACCACGCCCCCTACGCCTACGGCTATCCTGGCCATGCGCACCGTCCCGCTCATCCATCCGCGCGCCCATCGCTCCATCCGCATCACACCTCCTTCTCGTCCGCCGGCTCGCCAACTTCGTCGTCGCTCCATGGCATGCGCGGCTCCATCGTGCACTCGCCCAACATGCCCACAGGCTCGCACCAGCAGCCCACCTACCGCGGCCACATCAAGACCACAAAAGACGCCATCCTGCTGCTTGCCGCGTGCGATCTTGTCGCTGACGCCGGCGCTCCCGGTATTCCGCCGCCGCGCCGGGTGACGCGACGTCTGCTCGACTCGGAGCGCGCCGACCTCATCTGCTCTGGCAGCATCTTTGTCTGGGACGAGAAGGAGGCCGGCATGCGCCGCTGGACCGATGGCAAGTGCTGGTCCGCCAGCCGTGTGAGCGGGTGCTTCCTCACCTATCGCGAACTCGAGGCACGCAAGAAGCCCTCGTCGTCCATCACGGGTGGTCCCACGTCGAATCTGTACAAGGCCGAGGGGCTCATCAAGCAGTCGTTCAGCATGACCACCACCTCGGGACGCAAACTGCACGTCATCTCGTACTACACCAAGCGAGACGTGCGCGAGGGCCTGCTGCGTCGCGTCAGCGAGGATCCGCGCTTCGTCGGAGAGAACGGCGGAGAATGGGGTCTCGAGGTGGACGAGGCCGAATATCCCGATCCGATCAGCCGCGCAGGCGACCTCCCAGCTGGCCTCCACCCCGACGAGCTCGAAGGCTCTCAATCGCCTCAGGGACCCGCACACGCCGAGCTCGCCGACGTCCGAACAACACGGGGCGAGGCTACGGCCCACGGCAAGGAAGTCGCCTACCCGGAACGCAAAAGGATTCCGAGTCCCAGATCGGCGGTCGACACGCACGTATCGTCGGACCGCAGCCGCGCTCTGCCCGTGTCGCGAGAGGCTCGCAATGCGTTGGCGCAGCAGCACGAGAGCGCCGCGAGGCAGAGCGTCGCCGGACGTGACGCCGACAGCCACGCCAATTCGTACGGGCGTGTCAAGAGCGAGCCGAACGAGAAGCTCTCGTATCCGGCCGAGGTCACGCCGCTGCACGAGGCGCGCGGCTTGCTGCCCATCCGACCCATCCCTGTCGACTCGAAGCTCGCCTTGCTGCCGCTGCGTCGTGACAGCCATGATTCCGCGCCGGACGCACCGCCGCACCACGCGCATGATGCCGGCCATCTCTACGGTCGCAAGCGCTCCTACCAGGACTTCCGCGGCGCGTCGCGCTACGACGAAACCCAGGCGGCCGAGGCGGGTGCGGGCCGACCGATCCGTCCGCGGCTGCAGCGCATGCGAAGCTCGAGCATGAGCCACAGCCAGGGCTCGGCGCAGGACGTGCTGGCGCCCATCCGAGCGCTCGGACGCGTCAACTCGGACGACGAAGGCGTGTCGAAGCTGCGATCCACGCACACCGGCACCCCCGGTTTCAAGGAGCAGCATGATTCGGCGGTGGGTGCGCTGCTGAGCCTGCGCAGCGGGAGTGGATCGAGCGATGACTCGTGTCCCTCGAAGCTGTCGCCCGCCACCACGGCTCCCAGCAGCGCCGACGCCGACGAGGCGAACGCCAAGCCCGCCTTCTCGAGAATGGACCGCGCCGCGCTCGACCGCTTCAGCGTGCGCATCTGATGTCACCCGCCTAGCTTCTACACGCGATTACCCCGCTGTCTGTCTGTCTGTCTCTCTCCCTCTCTCCCCCTCTCCCCCTCTCTCTCTTGATGATCCCCCACTGTGTTTTGTAGGACCCGTTTTCGATCCGTCTTTGTCTGTACACTGTAATCTTTCCCGGTCGACGATGGCTCGCATACTCTGATGGCTCGCATACTCTGCCATCTTGTCCAACGTCTAGTCTCGCTCCGCTACCCCTTGGCCTCTTGTACGCACACACTCCTCCCCGGTAGCCCCCCCCTTTCTCTCTTGATTGTTGTTTCTCCCATGTCACCGCAGCGCTAATGACTCTTGCATACACGAACTCGGAATCAAGCATCTGCATTTCTCGAATCCATTTCTATCGTGGCAGCTGTGTGTGTGCGCGAGCCGGCGATCAGCAGTGCCTCGGATCGATCGGCAACCGCGGCGTTACGGGGGGTTCCGACGATACAGTTCCGAGACAGGGCGGAGAAGGGCGTGCACGTGAACGATGAGAGTGGAGGATCGGCAGTTCTGGGGCGAGAAGTCCCTGGATCAGACGTGATTGCCGACTGGCAAGTTCCCAACCGCGGCGCTTGCGAATGAGCACGCTTAGTTCAGCAAGGCGTTCGAGACCATGATCGACATGACGGGCGGAGAAACGCAAGCTCAAGACTCTGACATGCGGCACCCCTGTTTCGGACGTCGCTCGCCCATAGCTCCGTGCGCTCCGCACGCTCTGCACGCTCTGCACGAGAAGAATTGCGAGATGGACCGTTCGCATCGCGTCTGGATCTCCCGAGGTTGATCGGGTCGCGGATCGCTTGGCATCTTGAGGTGTGGAAGGCTCCGTCGGGCCAAACTGAGAATGAGCGGGCGAAACCTTGTTGCGCGCGCTTGCGACGCAGGATGAACGCATGGCCGAGCGCCGCACGCTCTGCATTTCCCACGCCCTGAAAATCCCAACAACCCAGCCCGAAATCGCCAACCGCCTCTCCATTGTATGCATGGTTGGCAAACTTTAAACAAAACTGCCCGCCGTGGGTTGGAAGCCCCTTGCACCGCAAAACTTCCCCGCTGCAAGAGTGCCGTTGCCAGCGAGTCTGTATTCGGCGTGTTGGTGGTCCGAACCCTTGGGGTTGGTCTTTCGAAGTGCGAGGTGCGAGTTCAAGCTCTCAAGGCTCCCAAATCGGGCCGACCGAACGAGGTAAAGAGGGTAGGCGCAGCGAAAGTCACCAATAGCAAGGATCGCAGGAGCGGGCTGCGCGATTCTCACGACGTCGGGCGAGATTTTATGGCTGCAAAACGCACGCATCGCCATGAAATCTCCCATGACGCTGTATGCGCCGTCGGCGGTTGCAACGCCTCTGCAGCGACAGCCGCCTCCATTGACTCGGTGCAACTGTTCTGCAGAGCGTTGCTGGCGATGTTGCCGCTCGATCCCCTGCTGTGGGCCCACGCGCTTCCATTTCGGGATTGCAAACTCATTGTGGCCATTCAGAGATGAAGGAGCCGTGTTGCCGTTGGAGCGGCGCCATGCAATTGATGGGCTTGGCCACGGCCAAGGGTGCTTGCGGCTCGCTTGGAGAGACGCGGAGATGGGCCGATAGCAAAAAGGGTCTGAGCGTACTTACGCGAGACAAACTGCCCCCGGAACGCTCGACCCGTCTTGACCGGTGACAGCGGGACTGTCCGCGATCATGTCACGAGCGTGTGAGTGAAAGCCACTCACATTCGCGTCTCGACGCCTCCCGAAATGACGGTCGGAACGACAAAAGCGGCGAGGAGAGAGGAGCGAGGAGCTTCCCCGTGCGCCACTTTACGACTTTGCTGGCTGCTGGGCCACGCTTTTTGGCTTTCGTTTTCGTTTTCGGTTTCAACCTCCGAAGCGGCCGCAGCGCTTGCTGGCCAGGCCCTCCCTGCGTCCATCGTGCAATCACAGCAGCAATTTAGGCTGGGACGAAGGCCTGGCGGCGGACTTTGTTACCGCGCTCGCTGGCTGGCTCCCTGGCGGGCTGGCTCGGTTGGGTAAGCGGTGTGTGTTGGGCGTCTTCCGGTGCACATGGCACCTCGGCACCAGCAAAACGCCTCCTTCGGTGCAGCCGTGCCTGCAGCGCGCTCGCTCGTTTCGCGTTGCGATGCAAATCTTTCCCAGGCTCGACGTTGAGGCCGCATGCCTCTCAACCAACGCAGGCACGCCAGCCCATCTGCACACTGCATCGCGTTGCGTCCACACACTCGAACCGCCTTGCATCTCGCGACAACCGTTTCGCCACGCCCAATGCCGACTTTGCGAGCCGCTCTTTTTGGCGTTGGACCGAGTGCCGATTCGCAGCGCTTCGTCTCTCGTCCGCCTTCCGATGCTCGTGTCTCTGCCCTACTTTGGCCCTGTTGCCAACACACGCTAAACCCGACCGACAGTGGTGGCGTCGAGTTTGCATCGTCCTACACACACTAGCCTCGGGATCGGCGGCTTGATCTCGGTAAAATTGCGTAGAGTTGTGGTGCATGCGCCCTCCACTGCCCTAGATACCGTACATCTCTACCGCACGGCCCGGGCGTGCAAGGCGCATCAATGGAAGCCGCTCCAGCCCGAGCTCGCTTGGCAGTATCGTAAGGTACCCACGATCTGCACCCTTCATGCTCTCTTTGCCAAGTGTGGCTTGGGCCCAATCGCCATCCGCCAGAGTCCAGTTCGTCGTCGTCGCCCTCCTCCTCCTCCTCCTCCATCCTTCTTCCGCATCTCTCTCATCCCCGACCGGCTCTTCCAAGTCCCCGACGCATCAATCGAGGCTTGCCGTGCGTGCGCGTTCGTGTGCACGCCATTTTTGTGCAGCAACACACGTGGTCAAGCGCTTCTTTGACTGGCTGGCACCCGTCCCACGCCTTCGGATCCTGAGCAGCTAACTCACCGCCCCTCCCGCCAATCCGCAAGCGCCCCTCGCCCAGCCTTGTGCTGCCTGCACTGGCTGCCGAATCCGAGCTGCTGGGTCGTGCCTCTTAAGCGTCGCCGTCGCCCAACTGACTCGTCTGCTCGCCATTTCCTCCCCCTCGACCTTTCTCCTTCTCGAGTGACCCCGAACCGCCCTTTCTCCTCAACTGTTCGCCACCCCTTTCGATGCTGTCTTGAGCTCCAAGCAACATCTGTATCGTCATCATCATCTTCAGCATCAACTCGACGAACCATGGCGGCAGCTCAGCGCGGTCGCCACTACATGGCGCCGCACACTCCGCAGGCTCACAAGACGGAAGCCATGTACCGTCAGGCTTCGGGCGAGTACAGCTTTGACTCGATCCGATACGCTTCCAACGCGAGCCAGCCCAGCCTCTCGCACAGCATCGCCACGTATCCCGAATCGACTCCTTCGTCGGTCTGCCGGCCGGAGTTCGGCGACTATCCGCACGACATGGCGCACAGCGACTGCGGAGCCAGCTTCATCTCCGAGGTCCCACCCTCGCTCGACGACAATTCCGACATCGACGAGGCTCGTTCGACCAACAGCTCCAAGCCCACCTTGATCAAGTTTGTCGAGCCCGTCGTGCAGCGCGACCACCACGCAGGCCAACCGCGTCTGACGGGCATGAAGAAGAAGATGCAGAAGAAGAAATCCGCGCAGGCGCTCCAGTCGGATGCAGACCTCAGCGTTCACCACTTACCCATCCTTGGCTTTGACGATGGCCTTTCCAGGCACTCATCCGAGCAGGGCATGTTGAAGGATGCGATGCACTTCCCCAGCGTGCCTCCTCGAGACGGCCGCGTCGCGCCCAAGCACGAGCAGTGGAACGTCGACACGATCGACATTGCGCTCGACGATCTCGTGCTCGAAAAGGGCAAGACCCGATCGATGCTCGTATCGCCAAGCTCGTCCGTCGATACAGCCGTGGTCCCGACGGCTTCCGACCTGCGCGCCAAGGCTGCAGCTATGAGGGCGTCTGCCTCGGTGCTCGATGAAGCCAGGCAGGATGACCTGCAGTATAGGTCCCAGCCACGTGCCCGTACGCTGAGCAACGCTCCGCGATCTCCACGTCGTCTGCCTGCAGACATGCCACCCTTGCCGCCACTGCCTTCGGGCCTGGTCCAATCTGCCAGCGGCAACATTCTAAATGGCTTGCAAACGGCGGCCGAGCATCCTCTTTCGACACCCGACATTCCCAGCTCTCCTGCCAGGAGCGTGGCTAGCGGCGCTGCCTTTGCTTCTCGCAGCAGCGTCAGCAGCCAGCTTCGTTCCGCCCAGTACAGCCCCGACGAGGAGAACGTATTTGCCTTCTCTCCGCCCAGCCTGTCTGGGCACGGCGAGGAGGCGACGCCTGCGTCTGCAGAGCTTCCAGCTGCACGGGGTATGAGCAACCGGCTCGGTTCGATGGCCTCGTCCAACCACAGCAGCCTGAAGGACATGGATCCGCGCGAGGTGATCCAGCGAGCGCGCATGCAGTCAATGAGCTGCGGCCTTGATGCAGAGATCGCCGGCTCGGTTGACCTGGCCGATGAGTCGCCGAGCTTCGATTCGGCGACACGAGGACATCCTTCCGTCCAGGCTGAAGACTTACCGCCTCTGCTGTCGAACCACTATCTGCAGGGCAACGAGTTCTCGACCATTGATCAAGCCCAATACGAGCGCCTCCACCGACTGCCCGAGAGAATGCAGGCTGCTGCTGCTGCTGCAGCCGCCGCGTCGGCAGCGGGTAGCCACCGCCTCTCGCACAAGCATCTTTCCAAGCACAGGAAGGCGGCCGGCGCTCCCTCGGCTGTCAACCACTATGAGCCCATCAGCATCCTGCGCGCCGAGGCCGCCTTCCTCAAGGACGACGTCAAGAAGACGGACAAGGAAAAGAAGAAGAAGCTCTGGCAGACGCCGAGCAGCAGCAGCAGCGTCAGCAGCCGTTCGCATGCCGCTTCGTCGCTCAGCCGCACGGGCATCTACTCGTCCACGTCGGACGTGTCGTCGGTGTCCGATAGCCAGCATCGGCTCAAGTCGTTCAAGTCTTCCATCCGTCTCAAGACGATGAAGTAGAATTTGTTTCCATCACTGCATTTCAGATACCCGCCCACATCATCCTAGACTTTCCTTCATGTCTGCTTTCTCGCTGCTTGTCGATGCAATCGAGGCGTCTTCATCCATGCCGTTTCGGTGAGAAGCCATGTTCCAGTGAACAATCGACGTCTCCTGTAGCACGTAGATTTGAGGGCACCTTCACTGCTGTGGGGTAAAGAGTGGACCGGGCGGCCGACAAGTGAGGATCGGCGAGGCATGTCGAAAATAGCCTTTGCGGGCACAATACCTGAGCCGCCTTTTGGAGCCGAACTGATTTTGGCAGCGTGCGATCGAATCGGGCTTGCCAAGCCGGGAGACCCCAAAATGCACGCCAAAGCAGGTACCGCTCCAAGAAAAAAACGGCACAGCGCAGCACGGCACCACTTTGCAGGGGAGCAGCAGCAGCGGATGCAATCTCCGGCCGCCTTGTTGCTTGGATTTCTTTTTCGAAAATGCGCACAGGACAGGGCGGAGGACAGCCGCCTCGGCCCCACCCGCAGCCTGCAGTGACAAATGCGCCAGCGAAATTCACACAGCTCAGCGTGTGAGGCAGAGAAATAGCCAAAAAAGAGGGGGGAAAGAAACACGGACGCTGAACCTCGGCTTGGCTTTGCTTGAGGTGCGGCCGAGTCGCGCCTGCCAGGTTGCTGCCAGACTGCTGCCCTGCGGCCTGCGGCCACTGCGGTCAGTGCTGCGAGTGCTACCAGCAGGTATCCGTCCCGGTACCGATGAGCCAAGTGAGCGAGAGAGTGCGTTCGGTGTTCCTTTCGCCTTGCCATTGCTGCCTGCCACTCTCGTCTTGGATCCAAGTGGAGATCTCATCGGCCTGCGACCCACCCTCCTTCCGCTTTCATACATACACACACCTGCTGCATCCTCTTGCATTCTGCTCCATTCAGCCTCCAATCAACATCACCCCGCCGCCGCCGCTGCTTTCCTTCCGCCGCAGTTCGGCAACGCGCATTTCCGGCCGCACGCTCGAGCCGCATCCGCTCCGCACCGCCTCACCGAGCGCGCCGGCTTGGCCTTTCCGTTTCGGTCCTTCATCTCATCGCCGCGTCAAGGCTTCCTTCCCGTTCTGCCCCTTCCTCGTCGCGTCTCTCCCAGCACGACGTCAGCCGACCCGTGCCGATCCTTGCTCTGGGTTCAACACCGGCCTGGTCGCCTACATCCATCGATCGGTTGATCGCCCCTCTGAGCACCTGCTAGCGCCCGATCACCTCTCGACATCTCTCCGGCAACTTTGCATCCAGTTGCCAAGCGCCTGCCCCTAGCTGGAGCTTCTTCGCACCGACAACTCGCTCGCAATCTACACATGCTCATCTGATCGCCCATCCACCCATCCTCGGAGCCACGTCGAAACGGTCTCGTCTGCAGCCCATCGGTCCCCGGCGTCTCCGCATCCAGCCTTCATCCAGTCACAACCACCTGTGCATGCGCGTCGAGGGTCGTCCTTGGCGCCGCCCTTGTCATCCGACAATCTGCACAGCATGTCATCCGGTCCAATGCGCATCACCGACGACGAGCTCAAGCGCGAGGTAGAGGCGCTCAAATCCCACCGCCGGCTCTCTGTCAATAGACCCGTCCTCGACCCAGACCTCCCAGATCTTGCAGCTGCCTACGGCGGAGGTCAGGAGCTCCTCTCGGTTGCATCCCCGGAGCGCGAGAGGCGCGGCTACAGCTTGGTCGACGATGGCGCCGTCCCAATACGAAGCCCTTCCTCCTCTTCCTCCGTCTCGTCTCTATCGCCAGCCAAGAGCATCTCTAACGAACGCGCTCGCTTCACCGCCCGTCGCAGGGGGCAGGGCTCCCACCACTCGTCAGGCTCCGAAACAGGTGCCCTTTCGCCCGTCTCGGCTTCCCCGACCAGCGAAGCCTTCGACTCTAGACCCATCGCCACCTCGCCCACCAGCATCGGCTCTTCCAGCCCACAATCGCCCAAGGACCCTAGCCACCTCTTCTGGGTGCCTGCCTCTGTCCATCCCGAAATCTCGCCCTCCGACTTCCGCAACTTTATCAAGGAGCATGCCGCTCGCGCCGTCAGCCAGCATCACGGCGGTGTCGAGGCCGAGAGCGACGACACTCTCCCTCCCCTTGCCGTCAGCGATTCGCCCATCGCTCAGAGGCTTGACTCGGTGCGTAGACAGCAACAGCAGCAGCAGCAGGGTCACTCGCAGACAAACGATGCCCACGGCGCACTCCTTGGTCGCTCCACCTCGCTTTCACGACGCGGCAGTACCCTGCGCCGTCAGTATCGACCCGAGAACGATACCGACGATGGCGATGACGACAAGGCTCCGCGCCCGCTCCAGCGCAATCGCAGTGGGCTCTCCCGCGGCACCTACGGCCTCGCGATACCCAACTTGACCATCGACGATCTCCAGAAGCTCGAGGCAGCCGCCGAGGAGGCGAGCCAGACCCAGGACCCCGCCATGCTTCGAAGCGTGTTGCGGCGCACGCTCAGCCTCAACACCACCCCGGACCTCGACACCGTCGATGCCGTGCCGGCCCAACCCATCGAAGACCCCGACGCGCCCATCATCGTGCCCAAGCCCGGTCAGATCCTGCGCCGAGCTGCGCGGACAAAGATGCGCAAGGCTTCGGGCGACTCGACGCGCGGAAGTCTCGCCTCGCGCAGGCGCGCGCCCCTGGGGGCTCTTGACACGGACGCAGCCGCCGTCGCCGAGGGCAGTCGTGCTTGGGAGCTGCAGCAAAGCAACTCCGAGGACATGGAGAGGAGGCACAGCGGTCAGTCCGAAGTCTCGTCCGGTGCCGACGACTCGTCGTCCGCTGGCGACAGCTCGTCACGCCCCGTCTCGACCGAGGCCACCGACTCCATCGTCGACGCCTACTCGCGAGACTCGTACCACTCGGACGCCTCACAGCGCACCAGCGTCACCTCGATGGTCGACAGCTCCGCCTCGGAGACCACCCCGGCCGCTTCCACTGGGCAGCCCGAGCCGCTGAGCGATTCGCCCCCGCACACGCCCACGCAGGACTCGTTTGCCACCATTCCCGGCGCCAAAGCGCTTATGGAAGGTACCCCCTTCGGTGCTGCTCCGGCGACAGCGCCCTCGTATCAGCAGCAGCCTTCGTCCAGGATGCCAGATCCTCACCAGACTCCCCGACCTGATGCCAAGGCGCCCGCCAGCAACCAGATCAAGCCGGTCCCTGTCTCGCACGTACCGCCGGTGCCTTCGTTTGAAAAGACGACGCCGCAGCAACAGCAGCAGCAGCAGCAGCAGCA